CTGCAGCCGGGGGGGCCCGCACAGCCGGCGGGGGGCAGCGGGGAGGCTGCAGCCCTGGGTGTGCGCTGCACCGAGGAGCAGTTTCAACGCAAACGCTTTCACAACACCCACGCTGCGAAAGGGTGGAAGGGGAAAACGCAGTGAAAGGAAAGAGTAAAGGAAAATTAACTCAAGAGAGAGTGCGTGCTTTAAATCGATTAGAGGGCACGGCTCAAAGCGGTGTACGGATTACAAACTTTCATAAGCTTAGGAGAGAAAGAACTTTTTTTAGATGCTAAAATGTATATTGTTTAGGTTAAGGTGGGGAGAAGAATGTTGTTCTGATCTTTTTTATATGAAACGCTAGTATGCAGCTGATCATCGCAGTTTTTAGGACACAACTGTGTTGCTCAGAAAGAGCATTTTACAGCCTACCCATGATCTGCAATGTGCCATAATTGGTTGCACATGTTCTTTTTTAATGAATTCTTTCTACAGTGTCTTATTTCAATCTTACGCAGGCTACAAGGAAATTTGGGAAGTTTTCAGCTCTAGAGGTTGGAGAACATAAATACGATCTTAACCACTGCATGCCAGAGTAAAGTTATTTATTCTTATCGGCCCTATGAGCTAGAAAGTACTATCTCTTCCCTTCCTCATTTTACACATGGGGAGCTTAAACACAGAGGAGGCTAAAAACTGTCCACGAGTATACAACAAACCTGGAATTTGAAGTCGGGTATCTAGTAGTCTGTTCACTGGCCCACCCTCTCATGTTTGGGAGCAGCGTAAAATGCTGCCATGCATATCTGAATGCAAATAACAGCACGAGCAAAACATGAGATCTACTTTAATGCTCCGTTCAGGAATATGTCACTTGCTCAGACCCTCAAAATGCGTAGGAACAGATGGACCCAGACAAATGCCAGGATAAAGAGGCAACCCTATACATTTCTGTACAGGGCGGCAACCCATACATTTCTACTGTGTTTGGAGACAACAATCCTTGCACTGCTTCATGCATCTCCATTTCATGCACACCAGGAAAGGTTGCTTCTGGCTTTGATTCAGACAACTCTGTGAAGTGGAGAAAGCATATTTGGGCTTGAGGAAAAAGCAGTATTCATTAATCAGCTAAGCCACATTCCTCTGTGATGCCACTGGGCTCCCACTCTTCCAAATTGTTTCCATGTGTGCCAGTGGCTAACTTGGGTCTAAGTTCTGACTGCACTTACACTCCATCAGTTTGATATGGGAAGAGAGGAGAAGACACAACATTGCTTAGAAAGCTTATTTTCAGCTCACTAAAATATCATAACCATTTCAAATACACAAAGAGCGATATCCCACAACTTTCCATCCCCGGCCTATTTTAAAGCATAGGTTCTGAACAGCTGACGAAATCATGAAAGGTAAGTTTTCTTACATTGATTTTGGTCAGCTTTTTCTGTACTGCTGATGTATCTCCAGATATATCTGACCAGCGGTGCAGCTCTTCTTTTGCAGAATGGAGCCAGTCTGTGAATTCATGCACGGCATCAAGGTACAGCAAATGGTCCTTCACAATGTCTTCCACTTTCCTCATTTTCTCCTGTCAGTCAGACAGAAAATAGACCATTAAAATGTTCAAATAATGTTCTGGATTCTGTCCAGACTTTAAGCACACGGTGATACAAAGAGCTGGTCTGACTCGATAGCACCCATCTTAATGCTGAACAGAGCACAGCTCACAGCATCAGAACGCAGCACTACACTGCACAAGGCTTGGTTTAGGTTGATCTGAACAGGCATGATCTGCTTGAGCAAAGGAAGAATAAGCCTCCCAAAATGCATGCAAAAAGTGTCCTTTAAAACATCAAGAAATGTATCCTTCAACAGATGTCAAAGCTGCAGCTGTGCAGCTCTGGCACATTTTTCCCAATACCCCTTGGAGGGGTTGTTGTGGATCACCTGGGAGTCCTCTCAGGGAGCAATCTGCTGGCCAAAACACAGCCATTATTTAGAAGCATCAAGTCACTATAAATGCTAAAGCAGTGTCACAAAGATATTCCATATAAAGTCCACATAGGAGCAGTTCTGCTGTCCCCAGCCACCTGCCTTGCACCCCTATGGAGGGTGCTTTCCCTGAGACACAGACATATGACAGCTGCAGGGCTCCATCCCAATGAATTAACCTGAGCTGAAAGTGTTTACCATAACACAAGAAGAAGAAAACTTCAAGAGCTACATTCTATGCTCTATAGTTTCAGGGATGTATCGATGGATATCTCTCTCTCTTCTGGCTCAAGAAGATAGAAATAACTATTATTGTACACTTTTCCTCCTTTGGTACTCTTCCCTAAGCCTCTGTGGAAAACAGTATACTGGTCTAGATGAGTCTTCAGTTTGATTGCACAGAGTTGTTCCTGCATTCTTATGCACTCATACACAGGAAAGCTTATAAAAACTAAGCAACAGTTAACGGAGCAAATTAAATAGCTTTTAATGTCTCTGTGGATACTCTTATTCAGATTTAAGTGACTGGTTCAAATAATCTGAATTGAACTTGAGTTATTTTTAATTTTTAATTATTTATTTTTAAGTTATTTTTAATTTATCATTTAACTAATGAATTTAAAAACAAAGTCAGATTAACAAGCTCTCTGAAAATAACCATCATTATTTCTCAGAATGCTTTAGACTAACTAGACAATAAATCATTACTAATTAAACAAAGGTGACCTGAAGTAAAGCCTCAAAGCTTTTACTCCTTACTTCATTTTACGCAGCAATGGAGTAAGAAAAATTCCATATGGGCCTGACCTGAGACAAAACAGATAGCTGCCTCAGACAGTAAGAGAGTCCCCCGCAAGAAAGGCGACCATGGGCCTCCCCCTGCTTTATTCACACCAAAATGTGGTACCAGTAGTGATAGTGGGGGGAAAGTGCAACTCAGTACTGGCAAGTCTCTTTTAGTGGCAAGGACTTCTATGAGTTGCAGTATGTGCTCTTCCCTCCCAAGGGGAAGTTTGCAAGTATTCAACCAGACCTGCCATCACAGAAAGGGGAGAAGGAGGCAGCAGCTTCCTCTGGCATGTCATCTGGTAGCTCCTGGGCTGATCTCCTCTGCCTGGCAGCAGCTCTGTTTCCAGCCTGGCAACCCTCCACTGCTCTTGGGTACCGCTTACATCAAATCCTAGTCTCAACCTCCAGGGGAACAGAGGTCAGCAGGGAGGTGCTAGAAACACAGCATACAGCTCAGACTAGCCAGAGGAGGAGCAACATGCCCTCTTTCTTGGGCAAGGTAGAGTTACATGCCCCATCTGCTAAGGCCATACGGCGTGCCCTACTTGGTCTGACTTGGTTCATCCAGCCAAGTCTTCTCCCCGGCGCTGTTTAGGAAGAACATGTGAACCTGGCCAGTCTGTGGCCCATTTCCACTACAACTCCTTAGCATCTGCAATTATTAGATTAGGAATGTCAGAAAGTTCATGCCTGCCTATTCCTTTCAGTATGTGCTCATAGATCTGTTAGTGACTTTGTTCAAACCCTTTTTGAACTTGCCAATAATAACATACAGCAATAGATTATAGAAGTTTGCTTTTCACTGCATAAAAGAGTACCCTTTTGTTTTCTTTTCTTCTTCTTCTTCTTCTTTTTTTTTTTTTTAACTAATCTTCTATTAGTTTTACTGAACGCCCTCTGGTACTGTGGGTTTTGGTGACTAACATTTCTGCATTCCCCTTAGCAACCACCCTTATGATTTTGTAAGCACTGACTGCATTTCCCTCTCAGCTTTCGCCACTTCAGACTGAACACTCTCACCCTTTTGGTCTTTCTTCATAACAGTTTAATCCCCTTGACCATTTTAGTTGCCCTTCTCTGTACCTTTTATATGTCCCTTTTGAGATGCACCCTAACCTCAAGATGCAGGCACACAAAGATATATAGTAGCAAAATACACCAAGACATATAGAGCAGAAAAATTATGCCTTCTTTATTCTCACTATTCTGGGTGAGACCTAGCATTTATTGATACCCGTTTCACACTGAGCTGTTAATTTCAGAAAACTTCCAAGTGACTCTATCTCCTAGGTTTTAACTGCAAGTTCTGAATTCAGAATCATGTAATAATGCTTTAGATTATTTACCCTTACAGGTATTACCTTACACTTATCTATACTGAAGTTCATCTACTACCTCTTTGCCTCCTCACTCAGTTTTCTGACAGTCCTTTGGGAGTCCTTGTGACTGGACCACCCAAGAGAGCTTTTTATCCTCTGTAAGATTTCACCCTGCTCCCCCTTCTCCCAGTCATTAACAAAGACGTTGAACAAAACTAATTCCCACACTGTTTCCTGCAAGACCCTGTTATTGACTCTTCCATTCTGAAAAGTGACCATTAAGCCTTTGCTTCCTATACTTCAATCAACTTTTAGTCCATTAAGGGACCTTTCTTTCAAACCTGTGATGACTTAGTTTAATAGCCCTTTGTGTGGAATCTTATCAAAGGCTGTCTGAAAATTCAAGTATATTATGTCCACTTTATCTCCTTTATGCATGTGCCCATCAAACATCCTCACAGAACTCCAGCAGATTAGTTTGGTAAGGTTTTCCTTTCCAGAAGCTGTACTGACTTTCTCAGCAGTTCGTATTTATCCAATACAACCGATGATATTATTTTTTATTATAGATTATCACCTTCCCAGGGATGGTAGTCAGACTCATGAGTCTGCGGTTCCCCACAGGACTTCCTTTGAGGCCTTTTTGTAGATGGGGATTATAGGGGCTGCCTGACAGTCCCCTGGTGCAGTGGCCTCCTTGACCAGCTCTTCAGCAATTGCAGTTTGAGCATTCCTCCAGAGCCCTCAGATGAATGCCATCTACTGTTGGTGACTTTAGTAACATCTAACTTAATCTGCTGGGTCTAAGATTTCCTGTATATTTACCTCAAACTGATCTAGTTCCTTTGATCTAGTTCCTGCTGCAAAGAAAATGTGAGGTGTGGGAATCTACTCCTCATTTTCAGTGGAGAGGAACAATACAAATTCCTTGAGCTTCTCCAGTACAGCCTTATCATCCCTGAGTGCATCTTTTATTTTTGCTCATCAAGTGGTTCCACCAGTTCCCTAGATGACATCCTACTTTTGTTAGATTTAAAGACATTTGCCATCTGCTTAGGCATCCCTTGGGAAGAATGCTTCAAACTCTGTTTGAGATCTCAATTTCCTGTTTACATACGACGTGTTCCATGCAATATCATGGGTGCTGAGACCCATCCCCAGCTTTCCCAGACTGTCACCCCAGCTGAGAGACTCTGGGCCAGTTGATTACTTACTGATGCCTGCCCAGGGCTCACACAAAGGTAAGAGCACCTATTTTTAATACCCACCTTAAGATTTCTATTGACTGATTTTTTGGGGACGAAGAAAACCACTTAAGAAATTAAATTTATTGTTACATATCAATTTTAGGAGAACATCATCATGCTTGTTTATGATGTTCTTTTCGTGTGTAAGTTTTAAAAGCATTGTGCTGAGTGAATCAGTTACCTTTGCATTGCTCCAGCTTTAACTCTACTTAATCAAGCAGATGTTATACCAGGATGAAGCTGCACTAATCTCTAAAAATCAGATTCACAGCTTACATTTCCAGGAAAAAAAGAGAGCAAAAGTTCATCATAAAAATAAAAATTTGTGTGAATAGACGGTTATTATAGATTAGATGTATTTTAGATAGCTCTAATATCTATGGTCTATGATTAAAGCAATAAAACAATTGCAATAATAGTATTACTCATCCCAAAAATAAAAACAAAAAATCCTCCCAAACAAACAGCAAGATTCCACATAATGACTCTCCTCATCCTTTTTAGAAAGAAAAAAATGGATTTTTACTGAAGAATTGAATTAATATGTCCTAAATTTGACATTTTTCTATTAAATAGTTTGTTAGATCTACTAATTTTTCAGTGTAGATTTCTTTTTTATACAGTGTAATTACCTATAGGTCATCAGCACTATTGTCAATACATGACTACCTAAATCACAGTTACATCAGATGCCTGGGTTTCTGACAATGTACTATATACACAGTGTTTACTCCAATTTCACAGTGATATTAGCCTTTTTTTGTGTGGCCCCTATTGCTGATGCAAACTTTCCCATTAGCTGAGATGATGGAGATTGTAACTCAGAGCTAGTGTCATTGTCATGATCTGACTGGCAGAAGGTCTCTGTGGACTAACTTGTATCTTTCCTTAGAAACTGAACAGAACATCAGTACGATATATGTAGTGCTTAACGGCTTTGCACATCACAATTTATGAGCTTATGTCTTCCGATAAAAGGTTTCTCTCTCTGACATTTGTTTCCTGCTCAGTGAGGCATTTTAGTCTTCCCTTTCTAAGTAAAAAAAAGTGCTAGGAATAAATAAAAAAGAATCAAATGAAAATAAATCTTGAAGAATCTCAGAAGTACTATTGTATATATGAAATTAGGAATAAAATACATGTCCTTCACTTTTCAAAAATCATAAACATACCAATAATTCAAATTCTCAAGGAAAATACCTTTCTTTACATTCCAGTGAATTTTAATAAACTACATTCAGCTTTTTTTTGTTAGACTCCATCATAAGCACTGTGAGAAAAAGCAAGACTATTCAAACACAAGCATTCTAGTCACTATAAATTATGAAAATCAGAGTTTTAGCCTTCTGTACAGGTTGATGTCTAAGTGTTTTACTCATTTGAAATAGCACTCTTTGCCTTTATCTTACCTTGGCCACAGCTGTGATATCATTAAAGTGTGTTTTTAGTTCTTCTTGAGCTGCTTCTCCAAAAGAATCATCCTCAGTTTTTTCATACAGTTCCACAGCTTTTTCAGTGAGTTGATGTAAATCAACAGAGTGATCCTCTATCTCAGAAACAATAGCTTGGAAGTGGTCCAGCTGAGCAAACTTCTCCTTCAGGCCAATCTGTGGTTCTATAGGATGTTCTGCTTTGTGATCCAGTTTATCTAACCACTGCTCCAGCTGGTTCTTCCTTTCCAAATAGTCATTCCACTGGCTAATCACAGACTCTAGACAGCTTACATTAAAAAACAAATACACAGTACGGGTGAGAAGTTTTGAAAGGTCTAAAAAAGCAAAGCAAAGCATGCTTGTACCTTAATTGACATATTCTCTGTAGCTATGTATGATATGTTTAGAATAGGTTTTTCCTCCATCTTGCTTTAATTTTCTATGTCAGCTTAAATCCAAGCCATTCTAGACTTCCTCTGTTCTTTGGACTACTACATATAACCCAATACAACTGCTTCCCCAGTACAGCTTATACCAGAACTGTCTGTCTCAGCCTAATGAAAAGCACACTTCAGTGTCTGTCCAGCAAAATAAAATACAGAACATTACTGGAGCTCTTCATGTAATAAATTCTCAGTAATAAAATGTACAGCAGCCTACACAATTATTGAAAAAGAAAAGATATTCTGGCAATTCTGAAAGAACAAACCAATTGTATATTGCCACATCTAAAATTTTTAAGAAATACACTCTTCTGTTATCTATCCCTCCTTCAATTAGATCTCCAGATCTCTCTGGGACTTGTGTTCAGGAATGTAATTCTAATTCCACTGGAGTTAATGGTAGATAACAGTGCTGTAAGGATTTCATCCAAAATGTAATGACCACCCACTCTAAATAATATTTTATGACACAAATTGGGTAAAGACTGAGTGAAAACTTAAAGCCTACCCACCATAATTTTCCACATATAATTCTATTACAATTTTGTAATAAAGTGAAAAAGTGGCAGCACTGATTAAATCCAAGTAAGCAGGTGGTAGAGTTCACCTAAGAACTCCAATTTACCTACATCATGTCTCCTACCACTAACAGCAGATATTTGAGGCTCAGACACTATAGTGCTCAGATCATCTAAAACAGACCTATGATAGTTTTCTGAGGCACAGAAAATTTTGTTTTCACTAGCAAACTAAGGAAGTATGATCATGCAGAAGTTCACCAAGAGCCTCCTTCTATCCAGTAATGATGGAAGATGATGGAACAGAGAATACGTGTAAAACCCATAGATGAGAGCAACCAGGGAGAGGCTGCAGCCAGTTTGGAGGACAGCATTTAAACATCATATGCTCTTAAAAGAAATTTTAAAAGATGGTATTTGATGATGAAAAAAAAGTACTTTACTTAGGAAGGCGAAATCAAATATACAAATAGACAATTGGGAAAACTGTCCAGGCTTAGTACTGTTGAAAAGGATTTCTAGACTGTAGTGGATAACAAATTGAACAAAAATAACAATATGATACTGTTGGAAGGAAAGGAAAAATTCTTTCCGGAATGTACTAAGAGGAGTGTTGTATGAAGGAAATGCAAAGTACTGATACTCCATTCAGAATCTGCAAGGTCTGAAATAGAGTTCAGAGGTCAACAAACTTTTGGGTATTCTCTTTTCAGAAAAATGTAGACAAACTAAACATAGTCTGCAATTTATTGAAAGAAAAAGAAGGATGAAAGAGGTCCAGAAACTATTAGTTTTGAGGAAGACTGAAAGAATTAAGATTTCTATTTGTCTAGAACAGAGACTGAGACCTTCAAATATGCAAAAAAATTCTCCTATAGGCAATAGGAATAACTTCCCATTTCCACAGAGGTTAGAACAAGAAGAAATCAGCTCAATTTGCAAGAAAGATGATACAGAGTAGATATTTTAATTAAAAACATAACAAAACACACAGTTGAGAAATCATCTTCTCTGCAGTTTTCTAAGGAAAAGTTAGATAAATATATGTCAGATGTTCTTGGTCCTGCCCCAGTACAGGTTCAGTAACTCAGGAAGCCCTTTCTAGATTTTTATTAGTATGAATTTGTATGATTTCTATTTATTTTTAAATGACCATTTCATATGAAATTTGATTCATCTATCGAGTAAACTCATTGTCTTTTCTACAGAGGGATGTATTTTTTCAGATAAATATTTGGATTCGATGACGCAACTTTCCCCTCGGATATCAGTAACAAAGGAATGGACTCACGAGCTACAAAGTACCACTCCTTGTAAGCAGAGATGGCAGGGTCTGACATGTGTTTTCCAGGGAGTTTTACCTCTGCCAGTTCACTGAGGTGTTGATGACGTCATTCCATACATCCTTCAGCACTTGTAGCTGGTTTTGTATCACCTTTTGTCCTTCCTCATTGCTGTTTCTAAGTGCTTGTTCTGCTTTGCCAATGGCCATGTTCAGCTTAACTTCACCATCACCTTTGAGTAAGAGGATCTCCTGTGAGGCAAAAAAAAAAAAAAAATCACATGCAAACCGATGACAGGTGAAAAGTGTACTTCTTTCAACAGGGGACACCATTTTCTCTGATCGCATTTACCACTTGAAAACCATCCAGTATGAATTCCTAGACACCCTTTCTTACAAGTGCCTGTCCCTTGCTATGTGCTAGTGATGCAACAGTTATTCCCACAGCCATACAAGTATTTTATTGCATTGGTCATCCTAAAATATTGCCCACATTGCAGCAGATAACGGAAAGGTCAAGCTCTGCACAGAAGAACAGCTCCAGGCAGCGAGAGGAAATCTCAAGAGAGCCCACGATGGGATCACCTACACTGCTGTCTTTCCTAATAGATTTTTATCTAACCCATTCTCAAAGACCTGCTATGACAGATACGTTACAGCCTCTCTGTGTGAACTATTTCAGGGCTTCGCCGCCACCAGAAAGATTTTTGGACCTGGATCCATATTTTCATAATTGATTATTCCTCAGTAAGTGTAATACCTTGCACTAGCCCCCCACCCTTAAATACCATATCATACTATTTCTCATACTGTATCTCCTAATTTCTCAAGATCACTTTAAATTCTAATCCTGTCCTTCATAACCATGGAAAGAAAGAAATATAAAAATATTCATTTTCCTTTGATGTGATCCTCATCCAATACTACTTACGATGCAGTATCTTTCTTTAGTTCTATAGTTCTTTACCTGAATTTGTGTCAGTCGTCTCTCTAGTGTGGCTTTGCTACCAACAGTGCTCTTTAACGATGCTAGTTTATCTTGAACCTCTTTCACCCATGACCACATGCTCTGCAGTGCCTCCTCCAAAGCAAGATGCTCCTGGAGCGCAACCTGACATGTTCGCAGCTTCTCCTTGACAGTTTTGACCATGTTTTGGTAACTGGTGAGATGCTGAGAGGCCAAGCGCACTTGTCCTGCACCTTGTCCTCCTTCATTTAAAGCCTGTGCCATTTGGGAGAGTTTTTCAAAAGATTCTCTGAGAGAAAAAAATAGGGACGGAAAATCAGTTTCAGAAGGCATATAATATTGTTATAGCAACTATTAGAAGCTTTGAATGCTGCTGACATAATCACCTACTCCATCAGCGACAGAGTCCATAGCTATCGGAAAAGTTAGCTGCGAGAGACTGAAGGGAAATAAAGCAGTATGCATTGATTAATATCTTTCCTTATGCGCCGTACCACTTCTACATTCGGGTGCTCAAAATGATCACACTAAAATCTTAATGTTGCACATTAAAATTAAAAGTTAATTTCATTTTCTTTCGGCCTGTCAGATTTTTTAGGTCTGTATGAACTGCTACCTTTTTGCACCTGTCAAAACTTCTGAGTAAAGTTTATAGTCTTTGACAGGTAGGAAGCATGATGGAAAGGTCAGACCATTTGTCTGGGATTAAACACTGAGTCTGGGGTCCAGTACAAGGCTCATTAAAAGGGATTAAAACTCTGGTTTCATACAGTCTCAGTTAATCTCAAACCACTGGACCACCCTTCCTGTTACCTCCAGATTACCAGACCAAACTGTGTTGCATTAGTCTCAAGGGGATAGGTAGGGATTGGGTGTTTTCTTTTAGCAGGCTGTGAGGCTTGAACAACTGAGTACTATTTTTGTTGTATCTTTACCAACCTAATAATAAAAAAAGAATTTGAAAAACCACAGTGTTCTAAAAAAGGCGATTACTTCATCTTCCATTGGCTAAGTTTGAATTCTAGAAAGATTCCACAGAGCCAATGTAGCTGTTATTTGGGCTCTTTATATATAGTCAGCTTTACATGAGAGTGGATCCTGCTAACCCCATTAGATCCAAATATCATGGGACAGAAAGGGAAAACAAAAAGGGAAAAAAAAGAATAAGTGCCATTTTTAGCATTGCTTTTTATTACAGATGATAGACTTTTCAGGCTTCATTTATCAATGAAGTAATATAAGCTTTTCTTAATGAGAAATGAGAAATTGGATGTGGCTTCAAATTCAAATCTCCTTAAACTAGAAGTATCTGCGTTCAGCCTCCCTTCACAGAATATGTCCCAACATCTTTCACAAACCCTTTCCACCCAAACAGTTTAGTTTCATTGTTGCTTTCTAAGAGAAAAAAGTGGGGTTTTTTTAGGAAATATGTTTCATACTACCTTGAAGTCAATAACTCTTCCAGGAACTTTTCCACTTTCTGCACCTCATTTTTCTTCTCAGGAATAAGCTGTTTGTTCTCTCCTAATGCTTCTGTGCTTATTCTTTCTTCCATTTCATGTATCCACAGGCTGAGTTTCTTGTGCTGATCCTCAAAGCTACAGAACAGAAAAGTATTTCCTTAAAAATATTTCTCAGGTGAAGTAAAGCTAGTAAGAAGTTCACCCAGTACTTTGGATATCCACAAGAACAAGAAAATAAAGCTAGGTATCAGCTTAATGCCTAGTGAATGAGAGTTGTACACGAAACATAATTCCACACTGACTACTAATCTAAAAATATTCAGCAACTCTCTAAAAATGTTCAGCAATATCATGGGAACTACAGTAGGATAGAAGCCTCCAAAATTTAAAGTGGTAGTACTTCTATTTATTAGTATATTCAATAAATACAGAACAAATGAAAGAACTTGCAAAATGCTTCTAATGATTTAGGCTAAGGTTAAAAAAACAAAAAAAAATGGGTAGAACCGGGCTTTTATTCAATATTGACACATACAAAATTTTTATGAGCGCTTGAAGTGTTGTGCTCTCAATTTCTCTAACAGAACAAAACTGGAGTCTGAAGTGAAACTTAGCAAAACAGGCTCTGGCTTTAAGTTCTGATGTTTGCAAACCTTTTCCTTACATGAAGGCACATCAAAAATTTCCATCTCATCTTTCTGTTTTATCCATTACTGCTAAAAAAACTTTCCTTTCAATTAGAAACAGTTTGAGTATAATTATGCCTAAAAACATTTGAACCCCCCAAATGCCAGCCCAAAATAATAATTCAAGAGTGTTTTTCTACTAGCTCCTTAGGAAGTCTGTCCATCTAGAATGGGACAGCACAGACAACATGCTTTAAAACTATCTTCATGCACACTATCTTCAAAGCCTAGGATAGAACATGAAAACTCAGCACACCTTTTTCTTCTCAGAAATTACTTTTAAAATTACTGTGAACCCAGCTGCTGACTGGGGATCACATGAGCTACACAGATCTTCCACATATGTGATCCCGATCTTCCATACTTTAAGCAAAGCAATACCCTTGGAGAAAGACCTGTTGCTTTTTTAGTGGAAACCTCTGTTTTCTGTTAAATGTTTCCAAAGGAGAAAGCAAGCAGATTACAGTAAATAACTGGAAATCATTTCAAATCGTTTCTTGAATTTCCACAGCCTGAACATTTCATTCAGCCTATCTGAGACTACTAAAATTACTTACCTTCCCAGGTCTGAGGCACAAGCTTCTAGGGCCTGCTGATCTTTCAGACACTGGTTGAGGAATTCCTGGAAGCTCTGGGTAGACTTTTCTATTTGCTCCTGGATATGGCTCACAACTGGTTTGGGTAAGCAAGCACACAAATTTTCTCCTTCCTTACAGGCAGCTTCTAATTTGTTCTGTCCCTCACTAACAGAATCCAGCACAATCTGTGTGACGCAAGAATACAGTTTCAACATGCAAGATGTCATAGCTAAAGATAAGCAGATTCCTTCTGTAAGTGGCCAAATTCCCCCAAGAGGGTGATAGTCATGTCTAAGTAAGGGACAAATTCAAGGCAGATCTTTCAAATACAATTTTATTAAATGGTCTTAAGATTCACGGAGTTCAGTGTTCTTATCTGGTCCAAAGGCACAAGTTTGCAATAGATGGACCAGTATCTGATCTGTTTGTGCTCTGTCTCCCAGATATCAACTCAGATAAGCTTTGACATAAGCGTTAATCTAAAGGACAGAATAGTGTAAGAGAGACTGGGAGAAGGAAGAGAAGATAAAGAAGGAAAAAAAAAAAAAGATTAAATACCAGAAACAATATGTTTAGTTATGCGTATACTTTCCAGAAATTAAAGTTTGATCTTCTGAATGGTGAACATATTGCTTTCTCTGTACTTCCTCTACAGTACACATTGCTGTGTTGAACCATGCTTATTTATCTTTTTGAAAAAATAGTGATAAACACATTCATACCTATAAATTAGTTCAGAGTTATAACTAGAAACATATAGTTAAAACACCTAATTACCATTTTTCGATTTGTTAACTATACCTGCAAATCATGTAGCTTTGCCTCTATGACTTTGCTATCTCCAGATCTGTCAGAAGATTCTTTTACTGCAGTCTTCACACCAGAAAACCATTCTTGGAATTCTTGCATACAATCTTATTTAATAAAAAAGTACAGAGAAGAGAATATCCTTTTAAGAAGCAGCACCATTGACAATAATGTACATCTGTCTTCCACACTTCATTTACCCTTCAGGAAAAGTCTGCAAATGCTAAAGGGATGAGTCTCACTTCCTTCAATGACCTTGGAGGGTGGGACTAATTTCATAATATGTTAGATGTCTCCAGTGTAAATATCTAAATTTAAGCAGTCACATTACGTCCCCCTTTCTCGTTAATGGGAAAAGACATGCATTTCAGGCTGTGATTTATCTAGCCACATTTAACGTTTGATAAATATCTCCTTTAAGATTAAATAAATGCATACTTCTCTCCACCAACTACCCACTGAGCCCAGGAAGTAGCTCAGATGTCGACATTATAAACACCTCCATTTCGTTAAATCCCTCTCTGAATGGCAAATACATAAAGTGTATGTATGCAATACTTATACGAAGAAGGGTGAATCTATGAGAATGTGGGGCAGTAACAGATGAGTTGAAGAAAGGTAGAACTGAGCTTGCCTTTCATGAGTGTTAAATGTTTAAAGATGAATTTTGTTTTTGTAAAATATATTGTTTTGCAGCAGATATGAAATGAACAGGGCTTTCTGAAAGACAAATGCAAAAATAAAGTTGTAACTGCAAGTGACATCACTGGAAACACTGGCAGGCTGTTCTTTGGCGGAATGATTCATGGCTGTGGGCTAACGGCTCATAGTAACAAGCCTGAACACTCACTGAGGAAGTGTTTTTCCAGGGACTCCTGCATGCTGGCCTGTGTCCTGGAACAGAGCTGATTCACAGCTTCATACTTCTTTATTAATGAACTGACAGTGCCACCAAGAGCCTCCAGCTCCACAGAATGGTACTTGCGACACAGGCTGTTGAGGTTCTCCCGGGCTGAGTCAATGCTGCTCTGCTGAAGCTGAAGGTCTTTTTGCGTCTCCTGCGAATGAATTTACAACAAACATTACATTTCTAAAGAAACAAGGGAATCATCTCTTTTCTTCAAGCATTTCTGCTCCTCCCATATGCTCCTTACTCCTATGGTCTATTGCAAGCCCTAGACACAGTCAAGGAAAGAGGTACTTGATCACGTTTCTTGGATTTTCCAAATGAGATGGAGCCGTGAAACTAAAGAGCCAGAACAGAAATAGGAAATACGATATTTTTTCATGCTTTTATACTCTATTTTAAAAGTAACAATTTTCAAGACATAATGAATAGCCTTATTTATTTTCAGTGCAGTCTGAAAGGACACATCAGATGCACTAGGCTGTTGGGGTGTGCTGGGACTTCTGAATGAAAGGGAGCTTTTGTCTGTCTAGAGAAGAACATTTATCCCCAAATTCAATTTGAATTGGCCAGCATATCAGCATTAATGTATTGTCCATGATAAAAAAATTTCCACATGGCTTGTTACATTAAGAGGTGCATAATCGTATGCAATCAAGAGAGCGCTACGACGGAGACAAAATAATTGTTACATGTGAGGACTGATGAGAACGTCTGAGGTAGAAGCTTGTGTTAAACTGAGTTCAGCCCAGAGTCTTTTTTCTTTTGTGAGTTATAAATTCACAAAAATTGCAAAGGGTGAATGGACATGTAAACCTGCTGGAGTAATAACTGAGGAGTTCAATGTAATAAAATGGGTTCTTGTCACAATAAAGATCATACTGTTCATGAAAATTTTCTAAAATGTGTGTAATTCAGTATGAAGTTGATAGATTAGAAATTTTGGTCACTGGTGGAACTTCAAGAATACGACTACTGTTTGCTAGTATTCTAGCAGCTAGCCAGTATATATTTTCTTATCATTTTCTCATATATCTCACATGAAAATTAACACGAAGTATAATAATTATTTTTTGTTACACCTGACTAGCAAAAAACTCTGATAAAAAACAGAGATCACTGTATAAGCAGTATATTTGTCTTCCTCAGAACTGACCTTCACTTTATTTAGAGCATCAGGGTTCAGGTTACGTGCACAGCTTAACAATATCTCTTCCACTGTTGTCAACCACTCTGTCATCTGATTGATAAGCTTCTGTAACTGCATCTTCTGAGTACTGAAATCTTTTAGTGTTTCTTCTGCTGTCTCTGACATTTCTTTGGCATGTTCCAACTTTTGCCTCAAATCTGATTCTATGAACTAAAAGCAAAATGTGATTTATTAAACTGCTAAAATGAAACATTTCTTATGGTAACAAGAGAATTAAAAGTTTATGGAAAAAATGGAAGGCAGGAAAGTGAAACACAATAATCATTTGCTCTCTTCACATCCCTAACTATAAATATTTACATGAATAGAAAATGGCAGCCATTCAGGATAAAATCTTAGCTCTGTGGAAATTCAAAGAAGGGATACTAACTTCCAAAAAGCCAGATTGCAAACTGATGTGTTATTATCCACCTCTGAGAAATAAAGAGCTAATCTGTTTCTTTTACAACATGCCTCATATATACCACATGACCTAAATGCAACTAACTCTATAAAAAGAAAGATCAATTGGTAACACCTAAGAGTGTTGAGGCTTACAGAATTTGTATGTAAGGCTGATTAAAATTGAAGACAACACAACAAATGTTAGAATATTGTCCCTTAATCTGTTTAAATATGGCAAAATGTGTAACTATAATAGATGTTTGCTGTGTACATTTTACTAATGAAAAATCAAATCACTCATAGTAGGATAATATCTATAAATGAGCAATTGCTAAGACTTCTGTTAAGGAATTAATCCTCTTTTATGTTCTCAGGATGTGACCTGATCATACTGTAATTTATTCAATTATATTCAGCATTTGAATGTGAAGTAACTTGGAGATTTGTGTTTTATTTGGGAGCTCTGTTTTTAAATTTACATTTTACATTTATATATCAACTATAGTTATTTACTGTAACTACGATGAATTTTTTTGTATTTATCACATTCAGTAGTTGGAAATAGGTGTGTGTTGGTTAATACCTATATATTGCAAAATAATATATTCTAAGTTTTGTTCTACAAGTGGATCGATGTCAAGTTTATGATAAAATGTATGATTAAACCTGAAGTTTCTGAACCTCTCATGTAAAGGAAATAATTTAGGGAGAATATAGGCATTTGCACATCTTTTTATTATCAGGTTCTTGGCTTGTACTTTGTGCTATGATTTCCTAAAATATGTGGATTGCTAATTTAGGTTTATGATTGCAGTCATAGCATAATCTGGAAAAGGTCTGAGTGTTAGATTAAGTTCAGCTAAAATATGATGAATGTTTTTGGAAAAAGTATCTATCGAGATACTTCTCTGCTTGTGGAAATCCCACAAGTCAGTTTTTAAAACTCCTGATATATCAGAATTTGATAATCTCACATAACCAATTTCCATTTGAAATCAAACATCCAAAAAATCATATTTTCATGTGCCCCAAAACTTAAAAAGTAAGGATCCAGCCAGTCATAAGAGTTCAACAGTTCATCTTCAAAGTTCCTGTTTTATTCCTTTCTAGTAACAGTTGGTTCAGGGCACTAATTCCAATCTGCTAAAGAATACTTCTATTCCACTTCTGTTCCACTACCTACTACATTATAATCCTTTCAAAGAGGCAAACTCTGTAAGCACTCATGTATGATAGCACTCATGATTCTGTCCAATGTCGAGAATACCGGAATCACACCCGATCAGCTACCTTGTAAACTATTTACAGTATTTAGACTTAATTAAAAAAACCTTCTACAACTCTAATCTCCATTTACTTTATAATATCCTTGTTTAGAAGAAGCAACAGTGACTAAAGAAATATGAATAAACAATAACCAGGATACACAATAGTGCCATATACACCATCTTGAAGGACAAAGGCAGTACAGGAGAGACAAATTGTTTCTTCTTAGTCATTTGAACTCTGACTGTGATGAACAATGTGTTTCGTTTACCTGAAGGTCTGCAGGAGGCTCTTGACTATGGGTCAGTTCTTTGAGATCTGAAATTTTAGAACTAAGCTGCTCCAGCTTCAGTTCTTTGTCCTTGACGTCAGACTGTAAAACAAATGTGGTCAAAATTTCATACTAAGGAACAAAAAGGCTTTAGAGCTTCAGATGGATGCTCCGCCAAATGGAAAAAAGAAAGAAAATGTAAATGAAGCTTAGCAATTAAAGGCAAACACAGTAGTTCTACTAGTTTTCTTCTCTAAAAATCTCCCATCTCCTGTTCTTTAGCAGATTGAGTTCAGAGATTTTTTTTCCCCCTCCATTAAAACCACCATACACATTTTAGCATTTAAAATGCTCTAACAGCTTTAGTTTCTTAAAAGTGGCTGAATAAAAACGAGAATGTCATTGTTTATTTGACTGGAAAAAACTACTGTGGTTGTCAGGTTCCACTTGATGGAATGCAATGTAATACATGTGCTTTCTGGTTTTTATTACAGGGAAGTGAGCCCTTGGAAAAAATGAGACAGAGAACTAGATTTTCTGCTCAAAAGAGAATTAAAATAGAAATGCTGCTATGCACTGACATATTAGGACCTTGCATTTATTCTGGACATATAGATCTAAGTTATAAAGAAATATTTTATTTACTAAAGAAATAATAGCAACATGAAAGAGAAAATCCTAATTTGTTATTTTGTAATTTTTAAGTATTAGTCAAATAATTGGTGCTAGTGTCTATTCTATTACTCAGACTTCCTTTTCTAGAAAATTCAAAGAGATCACTGATTTAAGGATAAAATTACTGCATTTAACTTCTGCCCTGCAATGGCAGAAGTTCAGGATCAGAAGAATTCTCAGGGGTCGTTTTGCAACTAGAGGGATATAACATGGGCTGACATGACAGAGAAACAAACAACTGCTCTGGCCCACATAAAAGGGACTGAATACTCCTGTCCATGCTCATCTATTTCTGACTGCTGAAATGGCAACACCCTTGCACCAGTAAACTGTCTTTCCTCTTGCCTTTGCAAAAAGATAAAAAAAGTATGCAGAACCATGCATTCTGTGACTGCAAACAAATGCACAGTCCTCATGCCCTCTGCTGTTCTGGCCCTCCTCTGAATCAGGCATGCCTGCAGTTCAGGCACTGGCTGGTCTTATCCCACATCAGTTTTAATACTGATTAATTTAGATGATCTCACTGCTCTAGTAAAAAGAAAGATATTAAATTTACTTTATCCTCTGCAAAACACTGATTTAGCACATTTCATATTCCATTGTATTGCTTGCATATGTTCACTATGCATCTTTTTAAGGGTATTATTTTTTTCAAATTAAGTAGAATAGGATTCATTCTATGGTTGATCTACTGTATATTTTGAGCTAATGGTGACAAAATGCTTCCTGAGCACTGGCTACATTTCTAAAATAATTTAACACTATCCAGAGAGGAAAGACATAAGGTGAGTGAAATTGTTGTAACTCAGCATTAAAATTTGTCCTTCAGTCCACTGTGCCTTTTTATTGTACTGTCTGGAGAATTCAACTTCTAAGACAAGATTTTTAAAAGCTACTCATTTTTTGCCTCAGCTGAAGTTGTCAAAAATTACTGACCATTTCTATTGGAACAGGGTTTGGTCCAGTGCTACACTTTTTGAAAATTTTGTTCTTATAAGATCACATTATCATGTATTGCTAGAGCTAAAATAATTATGAGGCTTAGCTTTAGTAGGAGGTATATCGTTCTTGTTTCTGTTAGAAGCAGCCAACTTCGAAAAAAGTCTGCAGTTCTGTTAGCTAGCCCACTAGGTGAGTGATACCACTGACTGAACAGAAGACATAGTGATCTACAACAGCATGGCCTTATATATGTGGCTGCTACCAGCTCATAATTTGGCCCAGAACATATTGACATTTTTATCAGTGATTTACAGGTAAGCACCTGAAACTCTTTCAGGATGACCTCCATTCTCTGACTATTACTGAAGTTGCCGATGCCTTCATTCAGTTGAGAAATGCATTTATTACACCATTCATCCATTTCATCTCTGATTTTCAGTATGTCGTCCCACAGAGATACGCTTACACTCAACCGGTCTATGTTGTCTTCAATCCTTTCTGATACCTTTTAAAAATGGAGAATGTATCAATACCACTCAGAAATTATACTCAGATTTCTTTATTTTGAGCTCAATTGCAAGACAGAATTAGAAAAATTGCAAGACAGAATTAGAAATTCCAGCATTAGAAATAATTAGTGAACCTAGGCAAAATAATTTTCTTCTTAGAAACATGCCTAAGTTTAAAGCAATAAGATATTATAGTTTCAACTTAGTTTCCGGTATCATAAAAATAACAAAAAGCATAAGTGATAATTTCTAAAAATCTATATATTTGACTGGAAAAGAGTTTTATGTTCAAACAAACTTTATTTTTAAAAGCAGTTATATTTGTCTTTATTAAGTAATATAAGAATTTGCTAATAAAGCTGAAAACATAAAATATTTATGAAAAAACATAAATTTATTAGCTTTTATATCATGTTCTCTGCTATAATACTGTCTTTTGAAATATTTTCACATCTTATTAAGATATTTTTGATTTTCAGCATTTTTAACTTAATACAATCTAATGCCTAATTTATTCAATTCAATTAACTTTATTGAAATAATACTGATGTACATTAGGGAGAATCCAACCCAAATTTTTATTCAGAAGTGCGCACTGAGCTAATTTAGACTAGCTACACTCATGCATTAAGTTTGTTATCAGACATCTTTCTAAATCTAGCAAATGAATGTCATGACCTTGTACATACAATATATGCCAAATCACCAAAATAACCTTTTGAGATATATTTCAAAGTAAACTTTACTAAACAATTGCACTTTAAGATCCTAAGAAAATATGAATACTGCAACATTTGCGCATCTTAAAAACTGTATTCAGAGTATAAACATCAGATTCTTACATCTAGCCATTTGTCCACTGTACAGTTCATATCTGTTTTCACTGCAGTGGGGTCGCAGCCACGAACTCTTTTCAATTCTGCTAACAAATGTTTTCCTTTATTGGTGAAACTATCCAGATCTTTCTGCTTATCACTCAGATCATTCTTGGCAGCTTCATGCTGTGAACATAAATATTTGCTTGTTTAATGAAGCCTTGAAGAAAGAAAGAAAGAAAGAAAAATCCAGTGCTCCAGCCACCCATCTCTAGCCCTGTGGTATATGGAATGCTCCGCTCACTCAGCATGCCAGCTAACATTTAACTATGTCACAAAACACAGAGTAACAGGAATGGCTTTCTCATGAGTGTAATAAAAAATTAAGATTTTTCTCATAATTAAAGCACAGAAATGGGAATAATAAATTTTGGATTTTTCCCACTTGTTAACAAGCTATCTATGGGACTTTAGGTAAGTAATTTTAAATTTTCTTTACTCTTCAGATACTCCATCTCTAAAATTGAATAGCAGCAACACATCACTGAATAATTACTATCTAAAATCAGTTCTTGCCTTACAGCAAGGTAAGGAGAGGGTGTTGCCAGCAAAATTTAGAATTATAAAACCTGTCACCACCGGATACTCTGGAAGACAAAAGTACAAATGTGTTTAGAAAGTAATTAGACAAAATCATGGAAGGTAATTCCCTGAGGGCTACTAAATTTGCAATTGCAGGCTCAGGGAAGTCTTTAAAAAATTGATTGCTGGAAGATGCGAAAATACTGAGGGCAGATCACAATGAGATAAGCTGCCAGTCTGGATCCAGTATGGCCATGCTTATGTTATTATGGCACGCTGCCAGAAATTGTGAAAAATATTTGTTGTGCTCCAGCTCCTTCAGGTCCAGCTGTGACCATAGTTGTGGCAATAGGGCATTTTTCCACATGCCAAAGCTCACATTAAAGAGATAAATTATATGGGATTTATGCACACTTCTTTATAAGACTGATATTGAAACACTATAGGTTAAAATTAATCTATGCTCTGTTCCTGTCTTCACTTGATGAATACTTGGCATATAGTTCTAGTTCAAATGTCTATTAAAAAGAGCCTAAAAATACACATACTTTGGAATGCTGGTTATATAGTTCTGACTACTGAATTTTTAATGAAGAGCTAAACAGGCTTCCAAATGAAATTATCCTCCAAATGAATGGAAAGTATTTAACTCAGAACTTCCTCATCTCTTCTCAATA